TTTTTTCTGCTTTGGTCTCTGATATCACTGCATATCGACTCTGAAAAGAGAATCGCAGCTCTCGCGCCGTCAGAAGCGGACACTAGACTGCCCATTACCTCTTCATGATCCTCGGGAATCGTGATGAGCATCGGGACGAATCGTCGCATTCGTATCCGTTCTCTCGCCACTTCGATCACCCGTCGGAGATCTGTGAGGAATTGTTCGGCCACCGGTGGCGGGTTGGCCATCATCGCATCATCCAGATACTCTGACAAATCACCCTTCCAATCGGCTACATTCACGGTTCAAGCGTACTGTGCACTCACCTGCACTAAAATACAGCCGCCGTTTGGGAATTCGTTCCATGAGCGTTCTGAATTCGCATGGCCCCATCTCATTATTTGCAGGAGCTGCCTGAGGAGCTGCTATCTGTAACATCTCACCCTATAGGTGGCACTCTCCAGCAGCAGCAGTCCTATAGCTTACTTTTTGTGCCTCATGCTGTTGCTGCAGATGGAAGAGGAACTGCATTTGTATGTCAGAGATTAATTGCCGCTTTTTGATCCGCCAACACAAGTGCCAGACAACGAACGATCCTGCGATGGAGAGTGCAAGCAGAAAGGCCAAAATAAGAATGAACAGCAGCTCAGCTCTTGAACTTGTCGAGGGGAGCAGGTAAGGGTTTGCACCTGAAATAGCGTAATTGTCTCATATGGAGGACTTTGAGTGCTTGAAAACTAACCAGATACGCCGGCAACTCTGAAGGACAGACAGTGTTCGTCTGGGGCGAAACCGGTGCAGGACAGCTTCAGTTGGACAACAGATCCCGTCAGAATGGCCACGTCTGACTCTGATCCTCGGAACTGAAACAGAGGAATGAATCGCTGGCACTGATCAGATTGAGGGTTGAGCTCAGTAACGAGCTCGCAAGTCAATCTACGGGTTGAACTGGTCAAAGGCACGGCCCATCCCGCAATCGGTGCCCGTAGATGATGTAGTTCCATACTATTCGGTCTGTGCTAGTTGGCTTATTAGTGAGAGAGGGAACGAATGAAAATCGCTTCTCTGAGGCCGTGCAGGAGGCTAAAGGGACAAAATCCCGGCGAGTGGAAGAGGCCAAAAACTGCGAGAGAGCGCAACGGAATCATCATGACCACAAGAACTATTTGCGAAGGCATGGGTCTAATGAGAGGGGAGGGGGGCTACACAATCTTGAGCTGCTCTACTATGGACTGGAAAAAAAGTTCCAGTAGACTGGCAATTTCGATGTGGATCAAAGTGGTGAGACGTCTTTGGAATGGAGAATCTCAAGAGTGGAGGTGGGGCTTCTCTCTGATACTCACCATTACCACTGGACGTTGGTGAGCAGTAGCAATATCGAAGAGAGTACGTCGATTGGCAGCTCTCCATCGATGATCCATATTGTCGAAGAACACCGCGCTGACTGCACATTCAACCGTTCCCATAGAAGAGACAGGGATTCCGCCATCTGAAAAAGGTCTATCAGTTCTTGAAAAACTTTTGGTCTTGTGGTCGACTGAAGATTTGCTCTATTCCCTCCTGCCAGTGCGACCACTGGAATCACTGAGCGATCGCTCCGGCCACGTGATCAGAAATGGGCACCTGTGCTTCATAGAACAGGCCACCATCAATGATAATGCGCATTCACGTCCAGCACCCTTTCAACGACCCATCAAAAAGAACCGAACGTACCTGCCCATCGAATCGGAACTTTAGGGTGAAGAACACCGTTCCTAGGCAGGCAATGAGAGCACAGGAATGAGTCGTTCAGTGTCGATCGAAGAGTTGAAAGCAAGGTTATGGCGGCATTCGTCTGAAAGCATTGTCTATAGATTCCATCGCAAGAGAAAAAAAGGTTGTGGAATGCGGTCTGCGTGCGGGCCAGTTTTCCGGGTGAAAAAATAGCTTGAAGCTTCCTTCCCAACCAGAATAAGTCTCATATAGAAAAAAATGACGTAGTTTCTGCATCGGTGCTCAAAATCGTTCGACCTTCTGCCAGCCCCTATCGTACCAGTTCGACGATAAGAACAACACATTTCAGAGTCAAGGCCATCTACAGCGATAAGTACAGATGGCTACTGGGGCACAAAGTACTTTGAGTTTACACAAAGTGATAATGTTTAAGAGAGAAGTGCTTTGAAACTGCTGTCTCAGAAAAAGATCTTAGCTCCCTTTGAATTGTCCCTTGGCCCGGAATTGGTGGAAAGTTTCGGATCATATCTAGAATTGTTGGTCTGGTAGGATGACTGATGTAATCGCTAAGTTCTCACGAATGCCCGCTCGACTGGACGCGCGGTAAATCTCGCTTCGAATCTGTGTCGTATGCAATAAACAGACGATTCCTACGGATTCGATTCCTCGTGAACAAGCGAAAGTTTATCTGTGATTCAATGAATCCCGGGAAGACTCTTGGTATAACCTACCTTAGAGCGTACCCTATTAGGAGACGAAAAAAAGCGAATTTAGAGCTGAAAACCCCGAGGATGAAAGAGGAGCTAGTGCGTGTGAAAATTAGGAAATGGGCTGTAACACATAAATGGATATGCCGGTCGAAATAATGGTCGCTTTTTCTGACTGGCCATAAATGTGCCTCCAAGTGCGGCTTATATAGGTCTTTCAAAAGAAATGGCTCCATAACGATGGAAAAAATCGGCTCGAAAATGTTTCTCCCGCGGATATGCCACATTGAAAATGTCAAGGGTTTAGCTGTTCCATTTAGAAATTTGATATGTCCACACCCTCTGATGCCTGCTAAGCAGATTTGCTTGCAATCGTAAGCCTTCGCGAGCGGATTTCATAAAAGTTGAGAGATGCATTGAAAGGGTGATGCCTGGAACTCACCTAAACGATCAACACAGTAGCCAGCCGTGTTCAGGTAGACAGGAGCATCAGTAGGACAGACGCAGCTGCAATGATCGCTGAGAGAGTCGTTAAGCATGGCCTCTTCGGCGTGGAACAGTTGCGAACAGGAAGGAGGGCAGACGGATGGAAAAAGCGCATCCGGTAAACCTGGTTTCCGCACTAAATGAGGCTTTATGACTGAAGTGTTCGAAAGAGGCAATAAACAAGAGCTCATCAGAAAAGCCGATAGAATCGGGCGAAAATGCAAAATCTGCAACCGATTGGCACTTGAAATGGATTGAAATGAAATCCTTACCAATGGATGTGAGAATACCGCTCACGATGGCATGCGATGGAGCAGCTCGTAGTTGAAGGAGTACATTAAGAAGTAGTAAAACAATGGCCTGTAGCCGTACTAGTGCAGCAGTCGTCGCCATGGCAAGGGGATATCGGCTGCTGATGTGTGTACGATAGTGTTAGTGATACGTTATCCAGTGGTCATGTTCAATCGGATAGAAGGTCAGTAAACAGCGGTAACGGACGACGACGGAGAGATGTACGCGGATAGAGCCGACGACAACGGACGGACGGATGGAGAGGAGGGGCCTCTGCGTCCCTCGCACACTATGAAGGCGGTACCTCTGACTTCCCGGCGCTCTGCCAACGCCCTCGACGAATACGGTCGATCAGTGTAGGTGATAAGGGGAAGGGATCCTAGCAAGCGAGCGAATGACGAAGAACGACCTCGAAGTCGCGGCGGTGACCTGTCGCCGACAATCGCCTCTGACAACTCACAAACAGCCCCGTGCGCAAGCACGTTCGCTCTGTGAAACTGACAAGATGGCGTAAGGCTACATAATAGAAAATTCTGACGTCTATGAATAGAAAGATTGGGCTCTATAGGGATTCAAAAAGCCACAGTGGAACGCAAGGAATCAGACCTCCATGGATCGGTACTCAAAAAGGTGCTGTTCAGCGACGGGAGGGGGGGGGCAATTTACATTTTCACGGGTGCCCTAGTTCCGCTTTTCAGGTTTCATTCTGATAAGCCTGTGAACTCTTGTTAAGCTAGAGTAGGCTCGTCGAGCTACCATGATAAAACCTGTCAACCCTTGTGAGCTCATGAAATAGCTCTCTGGTTAGTAGCAAAGTCCAAAATGCCCCCCGTAGCCAAACTGCGCCCTCAGGCAACCCAACTCTTCCATCCATAGCAGCAGAGCTGCTTAGAGGCACATGAAACCTATGCAGTGATTCGATTACGTATATCAAGATCCTAAAAAATCTTGGAACAAGAGAATAGTTAATGTGAAGGCGTTTCCGCAAAGAAAGAGACATACTGTCGAGCCGGGCTGCTTACCCAACCATTAATAAATGGGGTTAGCCTTATAGTAGCCTATTATTTCAAGCTTTATAGGCCCAGCGTTGGAGAAGTATGTTGGAACTGAAGAATATATCCCATCTTTCATCTGAACGTGAAAAAGACCAAGTTCCTGAGTTTCGAAGAGTGTACCAAACCTATCGTAGACCGCCACGGCGAAAACATCGGAAGGGTCGAGGACTTCCAGTACCTGGGTAGCGCTATAATAGCTGATGGAAGCGTGGATCAGGCGGTAAAGGCTCGAATGAAAGTAGTTCATATAAAATGCTGGGAGCCCACAGGTATCCTCTGCTAACGGCGGTAGGCTAACGCTCGAGGGCAAGCTGTACCAGGCTTGGGTAAGGCATGCGGTGCTCTACGGCAGCTAGTGCTTTGGGCCATATGCAAGAGCCATGAAAGGGAGCTCCACCCGAAATGGGGAAGCTGAGATAGGGCCTGCGGCTGGACACGACTAGACAGAGTCAGAAACGAGGACGTCAGGGTGGTCACACAGACGGCTCCTATCCAGCTGAAGGCATGAAATCAGCGACTGCTATGGTACTGAGGAGGCCTGAAGACCATGCAGTAAGGAAGGTGTTGGAATCGAAGTAGAGGACATGCGAGCCGCAAAGAAAAAAATGGAGGGACGTCATCGAGAAGGACCTCACTGAGTGAATGCCACGGCAGAAGATGCAGTGGAACAACTGGCGGCGTTTGGCAAAAAAATCAGGCCCTGCGGCAGCGCAGGGTAACGCCAGGAGGGAAGAAGCAGGCTAGAAGACGTAGGGTAGAAGGCTTGCTGGCCTGAGAGGGAGCAACCGGGATTTGATCCTCCGATGGTAAGCGTGCCGCTTGCCTCTACAAGGCTTACAGAGAGATTTCTGTGATGCTATATTTGATTAGCTGGTTGTAAGCCCTTGTTCTAGTGCGAACGGCATGCGTACTTTCGAAATCCTGTCAATACGGCAGAATGTTCCATAATCTTCGTTTTCCAAATCCGCATTACACTGAATAACACTTTCTGGAAGATTAGCTCCTCGAGAAGCCGCGACATGTGACAAAATCCCATAGCAATGCACTGAAATAGAATGCGGTCGCATTATGCGTGGCGATTCTTAAGCAACTGTGATTAAATATCTCATTTCCCGGCGGTGGAGGTGGTGTAGTTTCAAATGGTTAGCTTGCTGCACGCAGTCCGGATCGGCTCCCGTCCAGGTTTTTACTCCACTCGCTTTCGAAAAG